CAAGTTGTTTGCTCTTTAAGAAATTGGTTTTTTGGTGTGTCTTCGGGCGAAAGTCAAAAAAAAAAACTTATTTTGGTGGTCTGGATCTAAGTCGCTCTTCAAAATTATTGTTCTTGGATTGAAGATGAGTCCGGAAATTGCACGAATCTTGGTCAGCCGATGCGAGGCTTGCTTCAACTGAGAACTGGAGACTGACTCTGGGAACTGTCTCTCCCGAATTCAACTCTGGAACTCTCTGCTGGAACTGATTTTCGCTCGACAAAGACCGGGGTGGGTTTGTCGGCGCCGGGGGGGTTCCTCGATAATTCTAAATACCTATCCACTTCTTTTATTTTTGGTTAGGAATTTTCCACTTCTTTCCATTTTTGGGGGAGTCTTCTCTTACTCCCACCATCTCACCATGCTTCAGGGGGGTGTCGGCTGTCCTCCCCACTTCCTCGTGGCGACTTCTCATACCCATCCTCTAAATGGGCGGTGACAGCTTCCTCCTTGCGTCACGTGATCACCACTCGGCCAATGATGTCCAGCCGGGCGTGTACGATCCCGCGGCGGGCTTTGTTTCTTGCTTAAAAAAAAAATATATCTCGCCGCAAAAAAAAAATTATTTTACCCCGGTCTCATCTGGACATCGTCAGTCAGATTATCGCTAATTATCAGAATGGGTAGTCTATTTAACACGGCCAGACCGTCGCCTCGAAAAAAAACATTTCTATGGTTCCAGTCATTCTTTGGTGAACATTACTGATAACATAACATTATCGCAGCTAAAAAATGTTCTGTCGAAAGAAAACGGTCAGTCGCCACCTCGTGTGCGGCTTTGACACAATTAATTTTTCATATCTATCCAAAGCCCTGTAGTTCACCTGTTTTTTGTCAATTATCAAAATAACATTTTCAATTGGATTTTTCTTTGGCTAGTCGGTCTGTGGTTTGCTTAATCAGATGTTTTCCCGCATTAACGGTTTGTTTATGTATCCCCGATAACACAGCTCGTCGCCAGAACACAACGATTCCCCCATCCACTCAGAATTTCCCTGCCATTGTAATGACACTCTTCGCCATTTGTTACTTATCAAAATATCCTTTATCCATTGTCTCTTAGTCGTGGGTGTCCTACTTATCATCTACGCTTGGGTCTCGCCTCTCTTTTCCTTTCTTTCCTTCCTCTCTTTCCTTTCTTTTCTTTTTTGCCTTGGTAAATGGTGCCACATTTTCCTTATTCAGGATGTTGCTGATCATGGATCTCCACAACATCCTGTTACGTGTTGTTTACAAGGATCTCTAACTCTTTAACTTCCCTCTTTGTCCCCTATCTGCTGTCTATTCTTAAAATCTCATTATGTAGATTCATGGCTGTTTCCCTCTGCTCTATGACTTCTGAGTATTCCAAACCTTCATTTCTCATAATGTACCCCGGAAATTTCAACTCTCTCTTTTTTAGTGAAGCATAAATTCCTTGCAATATTAGAATGATATGGATTCAGACAATTTGATTGTGATAATATCCCGGGAAATTTGTGGAAAACAAAATGAAAATAGGAGAAACACTTTTCATTGCATTAGAAATACTTAAAAGATTTTTCAAAATAATATGCTAAATAACGACATGACTAATTTCTAATAATAATTTCTATAAAATTTATGACTACGTAACTTAATTTCTATTTACATTATTCGGACTATTGTCCTCATCTTTGTCGCCATATTTATTACAACGTTTCGGCTGTTGTACGCTACGGACTTCTTCAGGTGGTTGGAATGTCGAACTGAACTTTTTATTTCGCTCACTGGGGTATACTGTTCTAGTTCCACGTGCCATGTCTAATGGATGTCAGTTATCAGTTATCTCGTGTTAATTCCTCTCTCCAAGTTCTCCACTGCCTTAAGCGGGTATTGAACTCACACTCTTTGGGTACTGTCACTGGATCTAACTAACGCCTTTATCCACTGTGGCATGTGCCCTTCAGGACATCTCTGTATGAATTTCTGGGTATTATAAACCTAATGTCTTCAGCAACCGTTTTTTACCAGTGCTCATATTGCATTTTTTTGCTTTTATCATATATGTTTTAGCAGAGCTCATATTACAATTTTTGTTGTTATTATTTCTTTTTCTCTGGCACTTCTTATTACCGGCTCCCATATTGTATTCATTATATGCTTGCTCAGCTCAGGAGATTTTTGTGGCCTAGCATATGGGCTGATTCCTTAAGTTTACGAATTTTCCAGTGATGTTCTTTGTCTATGATCTCAGTGGTGATCTCCCTTCTCTCTCCATATGTGGTCAGCCACGCCTGATGTTTCAACTTCCCCTCATGTTACAGGTTTCTGGTGTTCTTGAAGCCTTACCTTGAGGGGGCGGCCTATCTCTCCTTTATATTCCTTTCCGCAGCTGCACGGGATAGCGTACACGCAGTCTTTAGTCATGTTCTTGAAGCCTTACCTTACACAGATGTCCTCAAGAACACATTCCTACAAAGCATTGCAGAATAAATATTAG